TGACTCCCAGGCTGCGCACCTGGTCCTTCAGGGGCACAGTTACCCCATTCAGGACCAGGGAGTGCTCCACACCAGCCCGCCTTCTGTCCCCCAAAACAGTACTTCTGTCTTGTCAGGATTCAACCTCAATCTGTTAGCCGCCATCCATCCTCCAACCGCCTCCAGACAGACAAAGCGGAAAGAAGCACAAGCGGTAGTAATAATAATAATAATAAATTTTATTTACCTACCCTGCCCTCCCCAGCCAAGACCGGGCTGAGGAGGGCTAAAACCAGGTATAAAAACAATTGATTAAAATACAACTTAAAAACAAGATTAAAATACAACATTAAAATGCAGCCTCGTTTCAGTAGATAAGCACTTTAAATCATTGCAACCCCGCACCCCCAACAAAGGCGGTTGAAAAATGATATAAAGGCATTGCACCAGCAATAAAATGGTTAAGAGTCCATCCTGACTTGCTCTACTGCTGCAAGAATCTCAAGGGGGGAAATCCAGATGTTATGCACAGCATTGGTGGTTCAGTGGTAGAATTCTCGCCTGCCACGCGGGAGGCCCGGGTTCGATTCCCGGCCAATGCAACTTGACTTTTTGGTTTAATTGTCTCTCTCCGTGTATAAGAATGGGGGAACTTTTTGGTTTGGGAGCTACTTCAAATGAATACCCGAATTACCTTCTGGCCTTCTCACCCCCCACATAACCTAAAGGAGCTTTCAAACAGGGGAGCATGGAAAGTATCCAGCCTCAATTATCATGCCCAGAAGTGGCTCCCATTGGATTCAATGGGGCTTTTCCCAAATAGGACGAGAGGCAATATCGCTCAGGTTTTCACTGACAAAATAAATCGGGGGAGAGTGAGGAGATTTGGCAGGGAAGTGGAAGCCGGGGGTCAAATCCAGACTTCCCAAGTGCAGGCAAGATTTGAGGCACCGCCTGGGCGTTCTTTTTTTTTTTTTTTGCAAGATTGTGCAAGATTGGTGTTCGTGGTGCAGTTATGTTTTTCTGCAAAAAGCTTCGCCCCGATTGGATGCAAGGTTTTGGGGGGAGGAGTGCGTTCTTCCCCGATCTCCGTTGCCCCGCCCCGATTTAAGCAGGAATGCAATGGTCCTGCCACGTCGCGTGCTTCTAAACCATCCATCGCCTCTTTCCTTT